ATTACTACTCAACTAATATTATAAATGTGGAAGTTTGCGAGGATTGATCGATGGATGTTTGTTACTCTATAACTACAAAAACTACTAAACGGATGTTGATAAAACTGTACAGTATTATTGTATACTAGCTGACCTGGCAAACTTCGTAACGTCTATGATCATCAGAAATAATTTATGATTCTAATGGTGTAAGATTTTTTCAAATCGGTCGTTTCAATACAAACAAACAAATCCTCCTTTTAATATTAGTGTAGAAGTGTGGAATAACATAATAAACTATATGAAATCCATGAAATGATGGGTGAATCCGCGGGCAAAAGCTATGGTTCATGTTTATTTTCTCAATTATTGATTCCGAATAAATTCTTCGCTACAAAATAACGAAACAACTTCATAAATATTTGATTGCCGAATAACGAAGGTCGTTTTATGTTTCAATTTAAAGACTGAATTAATTGTAGCCCTGAGAGCTAGCTAGCATGTTTTAAATTTTAATGATGAAAATAATATATATAAATCAATTATTAAGCTTACATTATTAAAGCCGTAGTACTTAAGTGTCAGCTGCGATCTGTTAACGCATTATTATATTTCAAACCTTTACTTCATTATGGCAGATACTCGTATCAGAATGTTATTTTAGTTGTAAAAAGCTTTTCTATAAAGTTTCTTGAGTTATTGGCGCCGTATGAATCACAAGCATATCCTATGTATCGTTTTTCCAGACGGACAGACAGACATGACGAATCTATAAGGGTTCCGTTTTTTGCCATTTGGCTACGGACCCCTAAAAATGTACTAACTCCATCCTTTATGAGGGAGAATTCCAGTTCAATTATTTCCAAAATACTTAAACATTAATAAAAATTAACGTAACACCACAACCTTTACAACAGCGTTCCCAAAGCTTCCATAATCTAATGATGGGGTATAAAAATCCTCAAAAGTGGTTAATACCCTTTCAGCCATCTCGCACGTCTCCATCGCGGAGGCTTTTAAGAAGCGATTAGATTTCACGCTGTAAACTAGTGATGTGCCCGCACAGTACACAGGCACTATCGATATCGATATTATTATCGATACAACATCGCTATGTGTGATGGTACTGAGTAAATACTTTTTCTTTCTTTATTTCTAAATTAATTGATACTCTCTCTGGGATCGTTCTCCTAGTCCATTGAACTATTTGCCAACACAACTTACTGTCGGCGAATGTTTCGCTAAAATATCTTTCACCTACGAATTTTTACTTGGCATTACATTTTGCCTGCGAACGTTTCACCAGCAGTCCATTCGACGGCGATTGTTTTGCCTGAGTAATATTTTGACAGTGCTTACTTACGAGTAAAATTGTCGACGGATAGTTGAACGGATAAATATAGACTGTAGGAGAACAGCCCCAGACTCGTTGTAGGCATACTACTAACATTACATCTAATTTCAAATTGGCAATGTGAGCGCTTTGGATCTATGTGTAAGCTCACTTGCATTTTAATTAAATAAATAAATAAGTAAATACGATACAAGTTGTTGAGTCTTGTTTAAAACAACTAGGTATAATTAATAATCGATATTGTTAAAAAAACAATATTACCCGACATCACTACCGCAAACACGAAGCACGTAACAAGCCATTACCAGAATCGTGCAAATTAATTTCCCACTAAAACGGGGGGATTTAATTTACTTGTCGCCAGAGTATTCCAGAATACGATCCAACTTTCCAATCTTCATTTGCATTTGTTTTAGCGCAAATAAAGAGAAGCTATCAATCTAACAAGGATTAATTAATAAAGCCGTTATTTATTCACTTTGGAGTAGATGTTGAAATGTTTTTACTGCGGCAATTCTGTTTTTGTTGCCTGAATTTTTAAAAACAGACTTTTAATAAGAATACCTTATATCAAAAGACTAAAGCGTACTTCATCGCTTATTCAGTTAATAATATTAGAAGTACTTTAGATTTTCGATATTTAATGATACCATCGATAAAACGTCGATATTTTGGAAATGTTACATACGTACGAGCCTAGACAAACGATCTCTTCAAATCGCTTACGGCTCTACAATTTTTTAAGTCTAGACGAAAATCGACTCGTTTAAAAAAACAAAAGGATTCCTCTTAACAAACGTAAAGTACCCCATGATTCTCGTAGGTATTATCTATTTTATTGTTTTTATTTGCAGTCTCTTGATTTCACCCACCAAAAGTTATTGGAACGATATTTATAATGGAACGATCCAGAAAATTATTCACTCATGTCTTAGCATTTAGGTTATTCTTCGTACTTTCCCGCAAAATGATTATTTGTTCCTTTCAGTAAATACTTGTTTTTTCGCGTTAAGCGCTGTCACTCGGGTGTTACCCGGCTCACTGGGCAGCGATGGCCTCTATCTGATGAGACGAAACGAAAAATAATCGCTTATAGAGAGAAAATCGATTTGCCGTTAGTTTTTGTTTTTAGGGAACAATGAAAACGTAATATTTACCTACCTTAAGTACGAGTATTAACTTTTAATGCACAACACAAGGAGGACTGATGACATCGTAAAGGTAGCAGGAAGGCGCTGGACGCAGGCCGCTACCAACCGGGCAACATGGAAAGCATTGGGGGAGGCCTATGTTCAGCAGTGGACGTACTATTGCTGAGATGATGATGATAATTATGAATAACTTGATATACAAATAGGTAGCAATAATTAAATTGTGTTTTAATATTCTATTCCACATGCAAATTAATACAATTCCCATAAAAAATGAATTCACAACTTTATTAAAGCCTGAAGTTTGGAAGGAAAGTTATTATAAAGGTACGATCACGATTGTATGCTAATTTCGTATACAAATTGAAAGACGAATAATTATGTAATTTCAAAATTTAAGGCAACAATAGATCAACGGTGGTGCTCATTCGAGAATCGATTAATTATTATTTGATCTGCCCCGCCGATAACTCGATTGTGTCAGATAGAATTGTCATATCGATTTAGTTCAAAATCACCTCATGAAACCACTAATTCCCAATAGCAAAATCATCAATGCAGATTACATCGAGATCAATTAATCTATTGGAAATTCAAATCTGGGGGTCTACTCTCACGCCGTTCTCATAGTTTCGAGTCTTTCTGTCACTGTCGCTCAAACTGACATCTCACTTTGAATGAGAGCGATGGAAACAGTCGAAACATCGTTAATATTGGAAATAGGCACTCTGATTAAGCTCTGTGGCGATCGCAATAACCTTTGACGTCAATCCGATCAGTAATTAGATCGTTCGCAACGACATCGAAACTATCAACAGTAGAAGGAAACACAGCAGATCCTCTCCATCACAAGATACTGTCAAATAATTTAATAGAATAAATAAATAATAATTAATAAATAAATAATAAATAAATCTTTGGGCAATTTCACACAGCGCCAGCTAGCCCCAAAGTAAGCAACTTAATGCTTGTGTTATGGGTGCTAGCTTAACGGATATTACTACTTATATACTTTTTTTTTAAAATACATACATATTATACATAGTAACACCCAGACGCGTCACAGAAATTAAAATTCATCATTTCAATTTCTGCCCGGCCGGGAATCGAACCCGGGACCTCTCGGCATAGTAGTCCGTTCTGAACCACTACACCAAACGGCCGACGAAGAAGAAGAATATCTTCTTCAAATAAATGACCACATACAAATCATCAAGGGACCCAAGGACCGGCTGTCATGGAGATCCTTGGGGGATCTTTGTTTAGCAGTGGGCGTCATTTGACTGAAACGAACGAACACCCAAAGGTAACATAATCTACTCTTAAACCTTTCGCGTACTACCAACTATGCCAGAGGTCGTGGGTTTATAGACTGTCCATCTAGTTCTAGATGTTTTTTTATGTAAACTATGCCACATAGTTCGGTACCCCTTTAGTCTATTCCACTTTGATCACCTAGTCTTGATCACCTGGATTTGATCATCCAGGTGATCAAGAAGTCCACTTTGATCACCTGGGTAATCCAGATGATCAAAGTGGAATGTGGTCTATTCCACTTTGGGTAGGTATTACAAGCTTTGCTTAGATGGTTGACAAAGGTGACTGAGTTGCTGTCGCCACTTCTTAGCACCAGTCCATAATGTTGTCCCGAAATGGTGGTAAGGCAAGCCATATTTGAGACGTGTGCAGTGCAAGCGCCCTGGAAAAGGCCTAAGTACCTACTGAATAAATGATTGATTTGGTTTGGTTTGAAAAGTGAGAAACATTACCTAAAATCACACGAACCTTCTGAATGTACATGACTATGTATAAGCACTTTATGAGGATCCTAACCCGATGAATTGATGGTTCATGGCGATCGCATCAGCATTCCAGCTTGCTGTTCGATTTGATGCTAGTTTAGATGTTCAAATGAGTTTAGTTAATTATTTGTATCTATCGACGTGGTTAGATTACAGTCTAACTAACCTAACCTAACGCACTGTTAGGCTGGGTTGCACCACTCAACTTGGACCGTAACTTTGACGATAACCGGTGCTTTTTGTATGAATATTGACAGCTTTTTGACGTTTGTCAAAGTTAAAGTAAGATGGTGCAACCCAGCCTTAGTCTACAATCTCACGCGTTATATTATAAAGTGACGGATCACGCTGATATATCTATTAATTATAAATCTTTTCAATAATAATTTCACAATAAAAGCTTGGTTGTGTTCCACGCGTAGTCAACGGTTAGGCGGTTATCACACTGCGCCGCGCTCCATCGCGGAGCGCGGGGCGACAGATTTAATAATTGTATGCAAGTACCTCAGTTTGTATGGAAAACACGCGCGGCACTTCACACTGACAACGCGTCCGCGCGCATGATTTTTTATATGAAACTAGCTGACCCGGCGAACTTTGTTCCGCCTTAATGGCAATAAATAAGCAGACTTTTTTTTTAATTTCGAACGGGATAAAAAGTATCCTATGTCCTTCTCCTGGCTCTAAACTACTATGTTACTCAGCCGCCGCTAAATGCAGAGCAGTGCGGCCGTCGTAGTCCGATAATGTCATGTCCATTCCAGATAAGTGGTGCCTGAAAACAAAAGAAAAACATTAGTTTATACTGTCAGGAATTCCAAGCAGAATTAAGCTTATGTAATTACTAGACATCGGATTATATGTGTTACGGCTAAAGATAGTTGTGAACATAAACTTAAGATTAGCCGACTAAACTTAAGTTTATGTTCGAGAAGCAGCTAAAGTTCGATAGCATGTTAGTTTGCGTCGTGATATTCCATCTTTAGCCGGCTAATGTGCACATTAGCCAAAACGAAACGGCTAAAAATGTATTCGATGGGCGCGCCAGGCCGGCGGAGGGCTTGAGGGGGCGGTTAGGTAGATATTGTTTTAAGTGATTAATATTTTGTTATTGTAATCTTGAATACCTACATAGGTACATAAAAGTATGTGTAATGAAAGTGATTATTTTTTAACACGTTCCGCCGCGGTAACGGCACATACAGTAAAGGTGGAACTCATTCATATTATGGCAGTACGGGTCTCGCCGTTTTCACGAAAATCAATCTAAAAATCACTACGGCAACAACCGTCGATTTTACATTAGAGTTTCATAGAGAGCAGATTTGTTGTTGCAAAATATTGTGAACAACAGTACGGGTATAGGTGTATGAAACGTTTATGTGAAGATTGTTAGTGTCATAGTGGACTGGAGTACAGCGTCGGAACGTGTTAATAAAGTTATCGTGTCAAAATAGTAAACATTATTACATTGTTTCCTTTTCCATTTCCTTCTACATTTTTAGCCGAGGGCCCGTGGTTACACTTAAGTTTAGCCGGCTAAAGATAGAAGAAACTAACATTAACACCTCGTCGAAGATAAACTTAAGTTTAGCCGGCTAATCTTAAGTTTATGTTCACACCTATCTTTAGCCGTAACATATGCACTATCAAAATGCCAAAATATGCATGCAAATATGCACTAAAAAAGGGCGAAATAGGNAACATATATATTATAGATCACGCGCTCCGCGGCGGAGCGCGGCGCAGTGTGATAACCACCTTACTCGATTACAGAAGTTTGATTATTTGATTCACGTCTTTACCCTTTCTAGTTTTGAAATCGAAATAATATCGTAGTTCGAGTAAATAGTGAGTTAGTGATCAATGGTACCGCATCACCGATTAAATAAGAAAGAGGGTAGATTCATTTATCTGCCAATAAACACCCACCCACGTTTAGTTCAGTTTAACGAGATAGACATTGTGCTGAAATATATCAGAAATACAATAAAAAGTGCGTAGTTACGAGTCAAAATATCCAGACAGGTAGTAATTAATTTGAATGAAACATTATTTTGTAAAATATAGGACTCCCTACCTAGTATAAAGCTAATTTTGTCGCCATTCATTAGTTCCAAGGCTAATTTCACAAAAATAGGGCAGTATTATTTCTAGATATTGGAGGTAGGATTTCCAATTTATTAACTGTAATTAGTAGGTACTCTTATATTTTTATTTTTTTGGAATCTATATATATTCAATTGAGTGAGTAAAGAAAAGTTTCTAAGGTTCGTTTCGCTTTGTGACTTTTGTGAGTCCATAAGAAGTAAGCCAATAAAATATTATAGTCAACAAAGGATATGGGGCGCGCGGAAAACCAGTGCAACAACGTAATGCTGATTGGCATAATATTGTAATGGGCATTGCGTTTGCGACAGGTACTCTTTCTTCGTGTTTTCTTGTCTGTCATGTAATTACAAGACAGTAGGTAGTACCTACTGTCTTTTCTTTATAATATTCCATTGTTATTTATCTCTCAAATCAACTGGAGGTTACAACAACTACCCCATATTATTAGGTATACTTAGCTGGCTCCTCCTGCACAGCCTAAATTGTGGAAGTTATTGTTTTAAATTTATGCGTTGCAACCCTTAGTTTTCTCTAGGTGTCTCTGATTCGCTCTCTGGTTTTTGTGTTCTGTTGAGCATAACCTATTATATTAATTATTGTAAATTCCACCACGTAATAAAAACGTGAAAATCTCGTTAAGTTACAAAATTAATAAACGGTTCCTACCTCCTGTCCTTCCAGAGGGCAAGATCCTGGCCACCTCCTACGAGTGCAAGTTCATCGAGACATCCGTGGGCATCAACCACAACGTGGACGAGCTGCTGGTGGGACTCCTCACGCAGATCCGCCTGAAGCAGCAGCACGCAGAGAGAGTCAGGTGAGAGCACTTGTTCATCATCATCAGAGGTGGAATTGTGTAAAGCAATCGTAATCATTTGACAGTTCATAACGTACGATTATTCTGTCAAACGCTTTGTTTAACTGACTTTATCGTACGTTATGAACTGTCAAATGATTACGATTGCTTTACACAATTCCACCTCTGGTTTATAAACTGTTTACACATATAACGTCGCTGCTGTCATCATTGCTGTCGCGAGCAATGTGTTCTGTGTTTGGGCATATTGCTGCGAAGGCTCCGCCCCCTTGTCACATCTCCCTTTAGTTTCTGTGATCTGTGGGTTTTAGGTAACGTATAGTCAGGTGAGAGCACTTTTTCATCATCATCAGATCTTTTAGTCTCCGCTGTAGGAGCACGACTTTCTAGGTCAAAGTTTAACAGATTAAAGCATTTTGTGTTCTTTGCTCGTGTGCGCGCTGTCAGATCACATCAATACAAAATGTATAGGGATTGACAATGTTTTTCAAATATGATGCGGGCTGCGTTCTTTTTGATCTGACCGTAGACTGCTGAAGGCATCCAGCAGTTTGCCAAATTCTTTACGGAACTTTTACTAAAGGTGTGATTCCACTGCTCAATAGTAACAACTTTCCTTTGGGTCCAATGTCGAAATCTTGAAAAAAAAGCATGTTATCGGTCAGTTTGTGAAGAAGTTGTTTCTTTTAGTTTTCTATAGTAAACGTCGTTGCATTTTAGCAGTGGAATCAGTCCTTATGAGAATGTGCGTTTAATTCTGTTTACTACTTGAATAATTTTCCAGAGATGAATGGAAGAATTTTCCAAGGCCTATGTTATACACTCTCACTCTTTCTCAAACTAATTAAGGGAACCAGACAGGGGGTCACAACTCACAAAAATGTAGGTACGTAGGTTATTATTTACACCAAGTTACACGTATTGAACACTAACTAAACACACTAGCGGTATTGGAAAAATCTTATTACTGACAACAATGAAAGTAAGACACACATAAAAGACCTATTTGGTTAGACGCACGCGAGATGTTATTGAATTCCGATCCACGCCTCGCCAGCCCTAAAGCATACATAACTAAGACTAAAGTAGACTCATTTCTATAGTCTGGTCTGTGAGCACATAGAATTTTGTCCAATGACCCCAAGCTACCCATCCTTATCGCTCGTGCGTGATTATATTGCTGTCGCGACTGTGCGACGGGCGCCCGCAGTGAGAGAGCTTGGGATCATTGGACAAAATTCTACGTGCTCACAGACCGCGCTTTAGTAATATCTCCATCTACTGTATTTACGAAGAAATTCATCTTTACATTGGTGAAATCTTAGAGTGAAATGGAGGCTACATCACAATACTCGTGGTTTACCCCATCAATCCCCAAGCGGTCGCATATGACCGCGTAACAAACGTATTCTGTCTCGATTCGCAAGGCTTGAAGAGTTTGCCATCAAAAAAGAACATTTTGAAGAAGAATGATCCTTGATCCTTATAAAGAAAAAGTTTCCTAATTAAGTACTGGCTAAAACTAGTTTTGTTAAAGGGTGGGTTAACTTAACTATGTTTGGAGTTAATATGACACACCCCACTCTCATGGCATAGTATAGGACTAACTGCATCAACTGTGGAGGTTTGTAACTTATATCGGACTTAACCAAGAAACCACGTGATCCTTTTTTATCCAGATTTCGAGTTACTCATGACGCAGGTTTTGGCTGCTGTCAGCGTATCTTCCAATGTACCTTTCTTTCGCCAAATCCAAGGTTCCTTACTATATCTACCTATGTTATGTCTCGAGGGCTCATTCGAGAGGCTGTCTCGAAGTAAGAACTCGCAAAAAATGTTTGCGCCTACGATCCGCTTTGTAAAGGTCCTCCTGGTACTCATCAGCAGTGGCTGGGCACTCTAGTGGAATGGGGTTTACACGGCACGATTGGATTTTGGGGCTAGTCGTGAGGTGTAAAGCGGACTGCCACAAAATGATTACAATCAAAGTGATAGTTTTCAGTCATTGCCCATGGTACCATGGGTGTTCTTTACCCATAGTATCTATGCGTAGTACACTTCATAAACTTCACTAGTTGACCCGGCGAACTTTGTTCCGCCTTAATGGCAATAAATAACGGGATAAGAAGTATCCTATGTCCTTCTCCTGGCTCTAAACTACCTCCCTGACAATTTTCAGCTAAATCAGTTCAGCCGTTCTTGAGTTATAACTGGAGTAACTAACACGACTTTCTTTTATACAGTGTGTNTGTATTGAGGTGACCAAATCGGGCTGGCATATTCGAGTAAGCTGCGAACGTAAGCGAAGTAAACAACCCTAAGGGCACCTACATCCTTGAAAGGCTCACATGCTCGCAAGACAAATCCCAGGCTTCTATACGCTTTTTTTGAGATCAGATCAATATGGTTCGCTAGTGTCATTTTACTATCTAAGTACACTCCCAGATCGCGCACCACACTGACTCTTTCAATTGATATACCGTTGAAGTTATAAGTGTGTATGATGGGATTAGTCTTGCGAGTAAACGATATGCATTGACACTTTTTAGTATTAACAGTGATCTTATTTTCTGTATAGTATTTATGTAGAATGTCAAGTTCGGACTGAAGACTCTGACAGTCATCAATGCTGCGAATCTTAAGGAAGACCTTTTTATCATCTGCGTACATCAAGTGTTTAGCGTGACTAAAACATTTAGTTATGTCATATATATATGAGTTATAGAAGAGCGGTCCTAAATGCGAGCCCTGGGGCACTCCAGTCGGTATTTCTATGAAGTCAGAGCGGAAACCACCCATGACTACTGCCTGAGATCGCCTGCTTAAGTAAGAACTGATCCATCGCAGAAGGTCACCATGTA